TTAAGAATTTTTTTAATTATTATTCATATAAATTATTAAATTTTAATTTAAAATTCATATTTAAAAAATCAAAAAGTAAAAAAAGAGAGAGTAGTAAATTCAGCAATGAAACAAATATGAACTTTAAAGAGATTAACGTTTAAAAATTTAAATTGGCTGGATAAATATGAATATTTAGATGATTAATAATATTATTACTATTTGGGTGTGGTTTATTCATTGCCATTTTGATCGATATCGATATGCAGGATGGGGCATGGACACAGTATTCATAGTCAAGAATGACAAATCTACGAAGGAAAAGTTGTTACCGCCACCATCCGATATGCCACCGTGTTGAGACTGTCTTTGAATTATCTTCAAGGTTGCAAATTATTTGTGTTAAGATTACTATTTTCTCATGAATTTGGCCCCACAGTTATATAACTGCATGCAGAGAAATTTATTGTAACTTGTCATTTGTTCTATACTTTCTTAACACAGAAATTTCTGTTGAATGTATTGTAAACAATAAAGAAATGATTTCAAGTGTGAGATGCTTCGGGTGTTTTACCTGTTGTTGTGTTTGACAAATTTTTTGGGATGCTAATTGGTAGGACAATAGGACAAACTCATATTGCTAGCTGGTGCATGAGAAGTTCCGTATTCGTCCAGTCCAATGAATTGTTCTTCGTAAACAATTGCCAACTTTTGGACCGTAGAAGACTTTTGACAATTGGACCGTGGAAGACTTCATCATATATAGTATTTTGCAGTAATCCATATTAATTAATCATGGAGACCCAATTCTTTCTTTGTATTCGTTCCTGTCCTTTATTAATCATGGACCTTGGACCTTCGTATTTTATTCAGGACACAAGATTTGGGACTTTGAGATACGGATTGTTTATTATCTGTGATAGTAGTATTCATTTAGGATTGATGAACTAAACTAATTATTCATTTCATTCCGATACAAATTAAACGAATGGCAGAGACCCTATATGATTCATGCAACTTTAGTATGGTAATAGGTGAAAATACATTTGGTATAATTTTAAAAAAATATTTCAAATATTTTTAGAAATTTTTTTGTCATTTAAATATTAAACATGCATATCTTCATAACATAAATAGAAAATGATTTGTACGTATTCTAATTCAACTCATTAGCCAACATTATTGGTTCAACCATTAAATTTTATAATTGAAAATTTTCACACCTTAAATTCAAATTTAAACATAATAATCACTTAATTAATATGTTGAATTTGAGAGTATACCAATAATTGCCCAATATATATATATATATATTAATCTAAAACCTATATTTGTTGATTGAGAAATGATATATACTTCCTGCAAAGTTTCATACTCCATTACATACTGACGGTTTCCGTTAGACACTTTTCTCGTAACTCTTCAAATGCATCCAGCCCTTTTTTTCTCTCTCTCTCTCCTTTCCTTTCTCTCTCTCACTGTTTCGGCCTTAGACACATAAAACATGTTTGTTTTTTGGATGATATAGCAGAAAGTTGAGTGCATGTGAGTGGAGCCAATATGTAGAAAAGGGAAAAGAAAACAGGGGAAATTTCTGTAGTTTTAGTATTATGTGCAACTTTGCCATTTTGTCTTGTTTGCTAAAGTTTACCGTTGGATTGAATTAAAATTTTGTTTGAGTGTTTAAGAGACATTGATCTACATTTTTGAATGGTCATTTTTTTGTTTAGAACTTTGTAGGTTTTGATTTTGTGCCTAGAACAGTAACTTATTTTTAATGATTTGTTTTTTTGCAGTTTTGATACCGTGCACAATTTTCCCATTTTGTTCGATCTACAAAAGTTTATTGTTGGATTGAGCTGAAATTTTGTTTGGTTGTTTAAGAGACATTGATCTATATTCTGAATGGTCAGTTTTTGTTTGGAGTTTTGTAAGTTTTGATTTCGTACCCAGAACAGTAGCTCATTTTTGGTAATCTGTTTTTTTGTAGTTTTGGTACTGTGCATAGTTTTGCCATTTTGTCTAATATGTAAAAGTTCACTGTAGGATTGAGTTGAAATTTTGTCTGGGTGTTTAAGAGACATTGATCTATATTCTAAATGGTCAGTTTTTCATTTAGAGTTTTGTAGGTTCTGGTTTTGTGCTCAAAGCAGTAGCTCGTTTTTGGTGAACTATCAGTGTATAATGGATTAAGTAACAAAGACCACTAGTATGTAACAGAGTGTGTAACAGAGTAGGATGTATATATCAATTCAATGTCCTTGTTGGCAATAGTGGGGTCAGATATATGAAGATCTCAAATCTAGGTTACACCTCATTTAATTTAATTTCTTCTAAATATTTTTTTTATCAGCAATTTCTTTTAAAAAATTAATTTAGTTAATTAATTCTTTCAAATTAATTATTCAAATAAAATTAAAATTAATTAATTATAATACCATTAGTCTTTGGAACAACACCTTGTTTGGATGAATTACTAAAAAAGCAAGAAGAGAGGTAGAAAACTCCGCTATAATATCTACAGATCTAAAGAGAAAAAAAAAAAAGAAGAAAAAAAAAAGAAAACTCGTTATTGCCTTAACAAAAATCCGAATTGATCGCTAATGCTGACCACCATACAAATGACTTATCTCCTAGCTGTAAAGATTACCAAATCTTAATGGACCACTTTCTATTGGATAGAAAAGGATGTCCATGTCCGAGTACTAATTAATTCAGAACTAAGAGCATAAAAAGAACAAATCATGTTAGACAATGGTGCTCCAACTTTTTTTTGGGGGCCTACGATGTAACCAGCCACCCCGTGACTAATATTTTTTCCTTACGGAAAAGGAGAACAAATTCTTTAAGGAACCATCTTCATGAATGTTCAAAAAAAAAAAAAAAATCTTTAAGGAACCTTTCATCTTTCAAGAGAGACTTCAAGGAGTCAACTCTTTGGAATTGCAACGGAAGCATTCACGTTACTCTTCCACGCGACAACTACGTATGGTTTGTATATGTTGTAAACCCATCTCTCCCTCTCCTACCTTGGCAAGCTATATCGTTGTGCTTAATTCTCTGATAGAGGCATTTCAACAAACATTTGGCATATTTCGTGTTCTTCTCTCTCAATTTTCCTTTTATAAACATACTGTGGGGCAAACGTAGCTTAGTTTGTGAGAGATGAGGTTAGAGCTTGGTTTGATTAAACGTATCTTAGTTTCCTTTTTATAAACAGCATATATACAATTGATTAATGGATTTTGATTGTATTAGAAGAGTTTTAAGCTTACAAGGGAAAAATGGGATGTTCTTGGCCAAAGTAGACATCAAGCCATGTTGGACAGAGGTCTAACGTTTTCTAAAAAGTGAAAAGCATTGTGATGAAAAAATGTGTGGAATTCGGGATATATACTCTGCTCGGAAATTTTCTTTTTTATCTTCTCTATTTCAAAATAACTATTG